CACTTCCTTGGAGACTGAGAGTCCAAAAAAAAAAAAAAAAACCCAATTACACCTCGCCCTCCCCCCATACCCCAAAAGTGATCTCTCCATCAGAACTGTGCCCTGTCATGTTCCCTTCCACTCATCTCAAGGGTCCTGCTATTAACAGATCAGCTGGGGAAAAAAAGTTTTCCATAGGGCTATCAATCTCCACTGTTCACATGGCTTGTGTCTAGAAAGTCTGCGTGTTGGCCTTTTGCTGGGATATGAGCAAGAAAGTTTCTGTCCTCCAGCCGTCTTGCAGTTCCCAACCTGCAGGTCAGTGGGGTGAGCAGGAGGAAGAAAGCACAGACTTGGGTGCACAGGCTAATGAGGATGAGGAAAATAGTTGAAGAGGGGGCAAGGAGAGTTGCAGGAATTTGTCTGAAACCAGGTTCTGTGTGAGAGATTGTGAAGAGCCTGAGAAAGAAATGGGATATCAACAACCAACAGCTGGGAGAAGAGGCCTTTAGTAGCTTATCTCGTAAACAGCAGCTCAGTCTGGGATGCAAAAAATTCAGGAAGAACTTCAAAATATTCAAAGAGTTTTTGCCTAAGCGAACTCACTAATAAAAGCGTTTCTAAGATTCTGTCCCTTACCCTTCATTCTTGCATTAAAGCTCCTTATTGAAGTCGGTGTGATTCTTGTTTCCTTGATCGTCCCCTGTGGGGTGGGTGTCACAGTAGAAGACACAGCGGCACTCCAGGGTTTTTTGCTAGCAATGCCACCAATCTCTTCCCTGTCTTCCTTCTAAGAAGAGTGACCTTTTCCCCTTCATTTACTGAACATTAACACTTCAGAAGAATCTGCTGTACTGAGCTGTTTTCTGCTGGCTGGAATTAAATTTCCTCCTGCCTTTCCCCATTTTGGACGCCAATTCTGTATTTAAGTCCCAGTAAAGCCTCCCCACATATGAACTGGGCTGCATGAATCTAGATGACTTCTACAGGGCAGCATCTATGGCATTTTTTCATAGGACTAGTCTTGTCAAAGAAAAAGAGGCTGAAAAATCTATGTCAGAAGAAGCAGAAAGATTCTATCCCTGTGTCAAAGAAACAAACAGACAAAATGTCTTCCCAAGTGACTGGTGAGGTGTTGGAGAGATATGGAAATTATCATGGAAGTAAACTTGCTTGTTGTCCACTATGCACCATCCTTTCTCCACTGACCTCTAATTCTGAAGATTTTGTGGAAGGTGTGTTGTGGCGGGTGGAGGTTGCTATAAGTATATTGATTTCCTAGAAGACTTGCATTCCTTCTGATCTTCCAGGAGATCAATATTACCATGTCAAAACAAACAAACAAGCAAATAAACAGGCTGCATAAGCTAGGTATCTGGTCTCTTAGTTAAAATGAGCAAGCCTTGGAGTGTTTGTTCAAGATTTGTATCAGGAGAAGAAGGAAAACATCACTTTAACAGGGATACGCTTAAAGACAACAGGCTGCTTCTGCAGCAGGCTGGCAAAGAGGAAGAAGCAACGTCATGAAGACATGTCCCTTACCACATTGGTCTAAGCAGGATGTAAGCATGAGCTCCTACTCTTTATAAGGCTTATAAGCTTAAGTTCTTTTGGCACTCTAGCATTTCTAACTTTCCTCTATGTCCTATATATGTCCCTTTCAACTCTTAGTTTGGTCAAGAGCTCCCTATGAATCCACAATAATTTCCTGAGCTCCCCCGCCCCTCCATTTTTATTCACTGGAATAGTGTATAAGAATGTTAGGTTGTAGTATTTCCGGTATCCTGGTATCTTATTTTTGAAAAGTTTCCAATTCCCTTGGCTTTCTTGGACTTGAGAATTTCTGTCCATGGGATCTCACAGTACTTCTCGAATCTTCTTGACATTGGCTCTCCTGAAATGAAATGTGCATGTATGACAATGCCCCAATTTCTCCTTCTGCAGGATCTCAAATCCCCAAAGAACATGGTCATGTCATCCCCAAATTCTCACTGCTCCAACCAGCTGTTCCTTAGTGAGGTAGCCTTTTCTAAAATCAGTAATAGCAAATTTAGATAGACAGAGAAACAGTAGTCTTTTTTGAGACTTCCATACCTTCCAGAGATAGCTATGCTTTCTTATTTTATAAGTAGAGCTATTGGGTCTAGGCTGCAAAACCAGACAACCACAAGACATGGTAGCAAAGAGAGTTTTCTGTGTTACTTTGTTGCCCATCTAATGGTTGTATAGATTTGTGTAGCTCAGAACTGGTAGTTCTAGGCAAAAGCATTCTGCGTGTGCTCAGACTAAAGCCAGTCTTTGATATTACTTCATAAGTTCCTGAGCTGACCTTGAGTATTGAGCTTTCTCTAAAAGTGTGATTTTTATACTTTTCCAGTTTTTTTTTTAATACTTTGGATGTCCTGTAGACAGACTATTTGGGGGGTGGGTTGGGTTTTGTAGTGGTATTTTTATTCTTGTAAGCTGCCTGGAGTCACCGTGAGTTGGGCGGCCGTATAAATTGTCTAAATAAATAAATAAGTAAGTAAGTAAGTAAATAAATAAATATTTCGTTCCTGTAAGAGAGAACATCGCATTCTCTTGAGCATCATCTTTCCTCCTTCAGTTTTGCTTAGGGCTGCAAACATCTGCTAGAGGACAGCAAAGAGTTAAGATGTCTGTGTTTTGGCTCCTGTCTTGTGTTGTCAGGATTTTTGAGTCCAGATCTGTTAGCCTCAGTTCTGCTCATACTCTGAAGGCAGAAACCCTGAACTTGTAACCCTTGAACCTGGAAGAACGGCCTACTGAACAGATGGCAGCAATAATCCAGCCTGCAAGGCAGGGCAAACTGTCAAATGCTTTTTGCAAATGATGGCAGTAACTAAGTCATAAATAAGTGAATCAATAAACTGGGACGCAAAGGTTAAACTACTTGTCAGTTCAGCGTAATTTGCAACATTATTTCCTGATGGAACAGTGAAAGGAAGACGCGTTGTAACAATGCATGAAGAAAAGTAGATGGACTGTCTTCCCCTAATTCTTGGATTTGTCTCTCGTCTGCTTGATGGCTTTTCTCAACCTCTTTTGTTCTTTTGTGCTCTTCCTCTTGGTATCAGTAATGCAAGTACAGACACAGAGTGCAAGTAAGTCGCTAAGTATGGGCAAAGCCCTCTCTATGGGGTAAATTTTTAAAAAATGGTGATTGGGGGTTGCTTAAGTTATATCAGCACACACAAAAAAAGTAATTGGGACTTTTAATGTGCTGTGCAAGTCTGGACGTGATATACACACCAGCAAATGCACATTCATGCACACACACACCTGGGCTTACTTAGAAGCAAGGCCGATCATGTTCACAAGAGTTTACTGTCTGGGAAGTTAGCATAGGGACAGTTCTTCTTTGTCGAGGGAAGAACATATATATTATTTCTAATATTGTAAATATTTTAGCAGACATTTGAGTGATTAGATTAAAAGTTTAAACTTTAATCAAAGTTTTCAAGTCTAGAGCAAAATTTTAAAACAACACCTCCATTTTAAAGGAGATTATGTTTCATGTTTACTCCATAAGTTATGTAAACAATTAATTACATGAAAAAAGATGAAAGAATGCCCATATTTGTTGTTATTGTAGATTGTCCAAGTTGTAAGGTAATAGGCGATTTCACAAGGATGTTGACAACCTCACTTTTCTCTGACTCTAAGTAGGCTTTGACGTGCATGTACTTGGATCTCAAATTGGAAAAAAATATTATTAGACAATTATCTTACCAACTTTCCTGTTGCAGTGAGATTTGGCACAAACTCATTACAGATGAGACACTGGAATGGAGCAAAGTTAGGGCTTCCACAGCAAGGCTCTAAAAATCCAGTAGATATACATTCTTTTTGCTGCCATCTGGATGTAATAGTCCTAGTAAAATGCTATATTCAAAGTGTGAATTCTTATGACTCTGTTTATTACATTAATGCTTCTGCCAATATAACCTAATTTCTTCTGTTTTACTAGGGTGTTCGGTAGACAAACATGTTGTTGAAATAAAGGAGAATAATCAGCGAGGGTTGGTGATTGCTAACATTAGTGCTGATCCTGGCATTACAGTCACAATAGAACCTTCCACAGCAAACTCTCACTCTGAATGGTTTGAAATAAAGAGCTCGCAACTCATCCTGAAAGTGTCTGTGGATTTTGAGGTAATAGAATAGGGTACAAAAACTTATATCCAGAAGGAAATAGGTGACAGTGAAGCCTTTCCAATCCAACCCTCTGCAGATGTACTGGACAGCTAATTCCCATGATGGGAACTATACTCCAACTCTTCTAGGGAATGCAAGGTTGAGGAAGGCTGGTCTAAGAGCAGCCAGGGTGGCCTCAATCCAGGGAGATCCCATGATGGGATCTGGGTGGTGGTGGTGGTGTAAAGACTGTGTAAAATGCAAGTGAATTGACACAAGGGACACATAGTAAAAGTATCAAATAGTAAGATGTTATTAATATATAATATTAGCAAGTACAGTACATGCTTTGTGCTTATCAGTTACCCTAAAGCTATTTCTTCCTGGCTCACAGATTGGTAGAGAAGTGTCAATGTAATTTGGTAAGGGTAGTTGAAAACTCCCAATGCTCCCTCCTCTCTGTACAGGAACACAAGCTATCAAATTTAAAGGAAGTGAGGAGTTCCAAGGAAGAGCTTCAGCTCTTCTGGAGGACATGTGGCATCCCCGAGCCTCACTTGCCTACAATCTGAGGGGGCCTCTGTCTTCCTAAGACTTCTCCCATGACAAGGTGCAAGGGAATCCCTTCTGACTGAGGCGATTCCAGCACTGTAAAGCAGGGGCAGTGTGGGATCACCTAATACACTTAGCTAGGATGGTTAAAAAGGTAGAGGCTTCATTTTCACAGCACGCTAAGTTTGGCTAGGGTTAATTCTGGCTGGGCCTTTTGTGGTTTAGCATGTTTTGTGAGCCTAGCCCGTCTGTCAATTTCTGGGTGAAAGATCTGTGTGAGCTCAGAAGATGAGATAATTCAGTAATCCATTTTAGAGTGTTCTATGAACACAACCTATCAGTGGAGAGGAGCCAATCTTTTAAGTGGAAGATCTCAGAGATGCTCACTATCTTTCATCCTCTTTGCTGTCTGAGTCCAATGAAAACCACTTTGGATACCAAGAGTGTCTCATGTGCTTGTTAGGTGTGTGTAAGCCCACTGAATTTCCATAGAAATATGAGAAGTAGAGACTAAGCTGCGTGAAAGCTCTTCTACCGCTCTCAGAGTTAAACTTTATCCACCCTTGGTATTGAAGGTTATAAGCCTGCTTAGTTTTACTGGCTCAGCCTCTGAGCTGCTGTTTTCAGTGCCCCAAGTGTGCTGGGAGGGCCCTATGGAAATCTTTTCCCCTTGCATCAACAGGATCTGCTTCCCACTCTTGAAGATCTCTGATAGGGGCACAGAATAAAAGCAGAGATTCAGAGACCTGGAAACCTGGAGTAATTGCTGGATGGACTGCACTCTTCCATGGAAGAGCACAAGTCTTTAAAGAACAATAATAAAGAAACCTAAGCTATTTTACTCTACGCAATGCCATTAGAATACAGTTTCATAGTTTTTATTAAAGATTTTAATTACAGCTGTAAAAGCAAATACAAATTAAACCCAGAAAAAGAAAAAGAAATAGGGACAAAGAATAAGAAGTGCAAAGAAAGAAAAAGAAGAAAGAAAAAGAAGAAAGTAAGGTAAAGAAAAAGAAAAGAAATATGTAAAGAAGTGACTTCCAGTCTTCATAACAAGTAAAAACAAATGTGATAACTCATCAACCCTTATAAAGTTACAAACAAATCTCTTCTTCCCATAACTCATCACTTCTATACGCAAAACCATAAATCATCAACTTTTCAGTCCTGGTGTCAGCAAAAAGTCCATAAAGGGTTACCAGACTTTTATAAAAATGTGTCTTATTTTAACCTTGGTCAAACAAACCAGCTTTACATTCCTTTCTTTTACTTCTAACAATTTTGATCTTTAATTCATTCAGATGTTGTTCATAGGATTGGCCTCTTTTCAATTTTTCTTTTTCCCATCGCAGAGGCTTCTTCAAGGCTTTAGCAAACCTCCTTTGTAAATCCTGTAAAAAGTAATTATCCAGGTCATTGTCTTGGTTTGTCATTTGTATTTCCCTATTGTTTTTCAAAACTTTAACCAGCTTCTTTTGTATATCCAATAAAAAGTCCTTATCAGTGTCATTCTCGCGGCTTATCATTTGTAATTCCACTTAAACTGCCTTCTCTATCTTGTAAGCCACACTTTTTAAAAATTATCCAGTATTTCTGGTTCTAGTATTTCTGGATCAGATTTAACATCTTTTGGACATAGTCTATCCACAGAAGCAGACATCATTGCTGACAATTCTGATATCGTAGCTACTAATGTCTGGCCCCATTCTTCAAAAATCTCCTTCAAAAAGTATTTCTAATATAGTGTTTTGTTTAATTTTGTAAATCCCCACACTAACCAAAAACTGAAAGTGTTAACACTTTTTTTCCTTTTCCTTTTCCTCCTTAAATCTTTAGTCCCCTCTAGCATCCATTTTCTGAAATCATGAAGTCTCGTTTCTGTTTTGACTTAAGATAGACAAAACATTCTGGTTCCCATGAGATGCTGTTTATTTTATTTAATTATTTCCAAATTTTTATAATAAAAGTCTCAATGTTCCAAAATTGTCTGGACTCTTAATTTGTTTATAACTTTCTTAGATCAAATTCTTATTTAGCTTTTTGCCGTTTAATTCCAATTCTTCAAACTCTTAAACATATAGTTAATTTTTCTTTTGTTCAAGAAGGAAAGTAAACTCACCAGGTGGCTTTTCAAACCTGTCATTCCAAAGATCTCTAATAGCCTTAAATAAACAATTTCCAAAAGTGATTAGAAAGTAAGGTCAGTGAACTTGTGTCCTTTGAAAGGCTCTGCTGTGGCTATGAAAATGATGACTGGTCCCTTCATCTCCCAGTTCTCAGGCCCACGAGAGACCACTGTCCTGCAGCTTCCTCACAAGAAGCAGCCATCCAGAGCACATGTGGGTGATCTCCCATCCTCTCCTTATCTGGAGAGGTTCTGAAGAGCCAGTCTACTTGCCATTTCTTCGGTCTTTGCTGCAGTTGTTGTCTCTGCTCTGCTGAAGATGTGTTTAGTTCTCCATGCCTTCACTGGAAGTCCACTTGTTCCCCATTAGAATTACAATACAGTTACAACAGCTGATGTAAAATGCAGTTTTGCAAAGCCCCAACTGAAAAGATGTTTTCTATTTGTACCAGCTAAAAGCCTAATTTTAAATATACAAGTATTACTATTTGTTGATGCTTTAAAAATGGCTGAGGGTATAGGGATTTAACAGTAAAGCTTCTATAGTTTATGCCTTTTTCCCCTCCCTCATTTCCAAATCATTGAATGGAAAATGATTGTTCTTCTACCTTATTGCCTATTGCATATGTGCCAAGAGTAAGACAGACAATGCACACAAATGCGTATACAGAAGCTCGTAAAAAGAAAATACTCTGGAAGCTGCTGGTTTGAAAGGAGGAGTGGGAGATGGGCTACTTATCCTTTAATCATTTTAATGAAATCCCCAACTCAGGATTGCCTGTGAATGAATCACCTCCCCTCTGAGATATTCCAGATGTGTGCAAAATTGTTAAGCAACCGCTCCACCAAAACGACAGTCAGTCTCCCTAAGGGATGGGTTTTACTTATCTTCACAAAAAGTAGGGGAGGGAGAGATCTGAAGCACTGCTGGAGTTTATGTATTTTTTACAAAACAGGGTGGGGAACATTTTCCCAAGCCCAAGGCCAGCATCTTCCCATTGGAAGCTGGTTGGGGCCAGTTGACAGAAGGGTGCGCAGTGCCGAACAAACTGCACCGCATATTGGCTCTCAAGGACTTTCATCTGACTTCAAGGGACCAATGGGTTTTTTAAATATCAGACATGAGGATCTTTAGAGTGTCACCATGCACTTTCTCACTATGACTGTGTTGCTTTTGTTTATTCTGAGCCCTGGCGAAATGGCTGTGTAATTGTAAAGAATGATGATCCCATTGAATGATGATCCCAAGGGAATCAGCACTTGCTAGGAGTTGCATGTGTAAAAAAGGTGGTGCCCCAAAGGATTGCTTTAACTTAAATATTTGTTTTTAATGCAGAATATAACAGCGCTTCAGGTGCAAATGGCATGCTGGAAAGAGCATTTGAAAGTGAGTAATATTTCAAATTTCCCTTTGTATTACTATTATTCTGCCAAAGTATAATATATTGGAAGAAATCTCTTTGCAAGGTTGATAGTGGTCCTGTAGAACATCCTTCTTCATCTTTCCTCCAGGTAGGCTGGACTTCAGCTCCTATAATCCCCCAGCCAGGATGACCTACAATTTCCAACTGCTATACTGGCTGAGGATTATGGGAGCTGAAGTCTAGCACATCCAGAAGACAACTTGAGGAAGGCTTCTCTGTGTCAGGAGTTACATACAGTACACTGTGTTAAGAAGACCATTATGAATTTCTTTTTTCTTCTGTTAAATTCATCTATGCTTTGTATTACTGGCATTGGGATGGGAGCGTTTTGCACAACATTCGTGCTGCTCACAAAGGAAAGATCCTCCTTCAGTTTTCTGAAGAATTAGAAACTGTTCCCAGATCCATAGGAAATAGGTGATACCAGCTGAGCCCAGCTTTTAGTCCATCTAGTTCAGCCCTGACTCCAATTAGTAGCAGAAGACTTCTGAGTTTCAAGCAGGATATTTTTAGCCCCATATTGACTGTGAAACAAAGCATCTCTTCTACCACTGAAGCATGATCCTTCCCTTGTTAATAGAATTGCTTATTTCCTTGGTCCCTGACTGTTAATAAAAGAGGGATGGATTGTGAGTAACTAGAATATACAAGAAGCATAGAAAAAAAGATAGTTTTGACAAGCCATGGGTCTTTGTGAGTTCTCTTCCCTAACACCTCTCTGGAGTCTTTGTCAAAAGAATGTGGATGTATATTTTGGCTGAGAATTCAGAGCAGCAAAGGAAAGGGGCTAATTATATGATGATGAAATCACCATCTTCAAGCTTTTGAATGAGAGGTGTATATTAGAATGCAGGGCTGTGCCTCCTTTTGGTCACAAAATACCTATTTTCAGAGACTCATCTGGCCAAAGAAGTTTTGCCACAATTTAGTGGGAACAGATCACAACAGATAGTTTCCTCTGGCTGTGAAGAGCAGATAGCGCAGATAGCAGGGAGGAGATTCAGCCAAGAACTCAGCAAGGGCAGAGACAAAAGTTTGAAGAAGAAAAGGAGGAAAAATGCTAAACACTCTGCTCTTGATTTTCAATGTTTTTGAGCTGTCAATCAATTGGTAACCTTCTGCTTTATTTGCCCCCAGGTACAAAGTTTATCTGTTCTTATAACAATTACAGGCGAGAATGATAATTATCCAGAGTTCAAGGAAACTAACATCACTGTTGATGTTTCTGAGGTAAACCATTTTCTTCATATCTTCTTTTAGCATCTAGTAATAAGGACATACAGGTAGTCCTCGCTTAACAACCATTTGTTTAGCGACCATTCAAAATTACAATGGTGCTGAAAAAATGGACTTATGACCCATGCCCAAAGTTACGGCCATTGCAGCACCCCTGCGGTCACACGATAAAAATTTGGGAACTTGGCAGCCTGGCCACACTTATGAGTGCAGGGGTGCTGCAACTCCCCCCACCTGCCTATCTCTCCCCTTGATCTATGCCCTTTTGGCTGCCCTGCACAGCAGCACTCATCCGCTGCAGCACTGGTGCTAGGGCTGAAGTAGCGGCCCAGGGCCTTCAGCAGTCTCAGCCAGCTGCCATTGCTGCCACCACCATCCCAGTCCCAGCACCACTGTTGCCACTGAGAAATGCTGCCTCATGCCCCACACCATGACCAGCCACCCCAGCACCATTGTACAAAGCCCCAGTTGCCCCCGCTGCCCTGCTCTCCACAGGCTCTGTTGCACTCAGCTGATCTTTGCCATTTTCCCCCTGCTGCTGATGAGGCACGCCCAGCCTGACCCTACTGTATGCAAGGTAGTTGCTGGCCACGCCAGGCCTTCTTCCCAAGGCCACTTGCGCCGTTTTCCAAGCCGCTCATGCCATTCCTTCTCTAAATCACACACCCCATTCCTTTTTCCAATCGCTGGGATTGCGGTTGCTAAATGATGCGGTCACATGATGTCTCACTTTATGACCACATCACTTAGCGATGGAAATTCTGGTCCCAATTGTGGTTGTTAAGCAAAGACTACCTGTACTTACGGTTCTGATGAGCCAATGACCTTGCAAGAAAGATAATTTTGTATGAGCAGTAATCGTGTGTATCTGTGAACTAACCTAAAGATCACACAGAAAAGAAAGGTGCAAAATTCCAAAACAAAATCCACAAGTACCAACAAGAGTTAGAGAAAATTAAATAACAAGATGCTTACTTTACACAATAAACTCACCAAATTTATGAAGCTTTTTTTCTACCAGAAAGATTATCATATGCGCTTCTTAATCTTGTTAATCACCCACCTTAACTACAATCTGGTTTTCTTGCTCTTTGCTGGAACTCTTTGTGCAGAGTTAAACTACTTGTTATGCAGTAGTTACATTATGAGAGTGCATTTTAATGTCATATTTCATTGTTTTATGTTGGGAGCCTCCAAAAGAACATTGTTACCAAGTGCCATTAAAATTACCACTGATGCATAAAAAATAATAAATACAGTTGTGTGTTGGATACAATTTATGGTAATAATTTGGAAAAACATTCAAGATACCAAATACATTTATATCCCATGCCTTCCTCAGTGAATAGTTGTAATACAATTCATATTTCTGGGGCAGCTGTGATTCTTTCCAAGCATTTTCTGCATGTCCTTATTTTAATATGGCTGTTTCTTTTTATTCAGCAGTATTTCCAAAAGGATAACATCACAACTTTGTATGCTCTTATTTGTAAAATATATATCCTTTGCTGATAAGATTTTGTCTTTGCAAAGTATCAGGTTCCATACGTTTTATTTATTTTTTGAACTTCAGAAATACAGAGTGACATCCAAGTTCTTGCAAATAGAGATGCTGCTCCTTCCTTCCTTCCTTCCTTCCTTCCTTCCTTCCTTCCTTCCTTCCTTCCTTCCTTCCTTCCTTCCTTCCTTCCCCCGGACCCTCCTGTCTCCACTAAATCTC